TTTGAGGAACCTCTCTACTGTTTTCCAGAGTGGCTGCACCAGTTTGCATTCCCGCCAACTGTGCAAGAGGGTTCTCCTTTCTCCGCAGCCTCGCCAACACCTGTTATTTCCTGTGTTACTAATTTTAGCCATTCTGACAGGTGTGAGGTGATATCTCATTGTAGTTTTAATTTGTATTTCCCTGATGATAAATGATGTTGAGCATCTTTTCATGTCTGTTAAGCATCTGGATGTTTTCTTTGGAAAACTGTTTATTCATGTCTTCTGCCCATTTCTTACCTGGATTATTTGTTTTTTGGGTGTTGAGTTTTATAAGCTCCTTATAGATGTTGGATAGTAACCCTTTATCAGATATGTCATTTGAAAATATCTTCTCGCATTCTGAAGGTTGTCTTTTAGTTTTGTTGATTGTTTCCTTCATTGTACAGAAGCTTTTTATTTTGATGAAATCCCAATAACTTATTTTTGCTTTTGTTTCCCTTGCCTCAGGAGACATGTCTAGAAGGAAGTTGCTATGGCCTATGTCAAATAAACTACTGCCTGTTTTCTCCTTTACAATTTTTATGGTTTCCCGTCCCATATTTAGGTCTTTAATTCATTTTATAAAGATTTTACTTATTCATTTGAGACTAAGAGATACAGAGAGAGAGAGAGAGAGAGAGCATGAGCAGGGGGAGAGGCAGAGGGAGAGGGAGAAGCAGGCCCCCGCTGAACCAGGAGCCCGATGTGGGGCTCGATCCCAGGACCCTGGGATCATGACCTGAGCCGAAGGCAGACATTTAACGACTAAGCCACCCAGGTGCCCCTCTTTAATTCATTTTGAATTTATTTTCATGTATGGTGTAAGAAAGTGGTTCAGTTTAATTTTACGTAAGTCTTAATTCATTTTCTATTTTATTTAAAGAACTATTTCAAAATTGTTTAAGAAATAAATGATGTAATATATGAAATGGAAATATATTTCATTATGTTTATTATAATATTTTATATGTTAAAATACTGGAAAAAAACATTGAAACTATTTGTCATCACAGACTTTCAAGAACTACTAATATCATATTAATTACCATGAACATATTGATCAGGATAGCCCATGCACGTGATTTAAATCTGTATCTACACAACACAATATAATTTAAATTACTGATATAACCTTTCCATGCCACCCAATCATGTCTATATGAATCATCTATCTATCTATCTATCTATCTATCTATCTATCTATTACCTATCTATCTATAGTGGAATTACATATATTAAGTGTGAATCTCACTTTATAAACACTATAAAGAACACTATATAGCAACACTTTTTGTAAATGATGTTAAGATACAAGATAAATAACTTTAATATAGGTTATTATGTTTTGTGAGAAGCATTTGGTATGAAATATAATGACTCAGAGGGAAAAGAAATTATTCTAGCATGCTTTTAGCACTTTTTATGTATCATAAATTAAATTAGATAATCTGTATCTACTAGATCTATCATGTAGATCTGACTGAGGAAAGATAACTTTAATGCATTCAATATGTTTCTTAATATGTAAATTATCTTAAATGATAATTCAATTCATATCTTTGTAGATAGTTCATAATGGCTTGATATGAAGTAAAAGTAATTTATGCTTTAGTTTTGCATGATATAGTAGAGTCTAGATAAATTTAGCATGTCTTTCTACATAATATTCATGTATTAAAATATATTAAATCCATTAACATTGTTTTGAGTATTTAAAATTTCAAACATTTGGTAAATAGTATTTTGTTTCACCTTTATAATAAGAAAACATATAGTGTCCAACAATATATTAAGTAAGTTAATAATATGGAAATATATATAAATAATTATAAAATTTTTATATTTTGCTATACTTATCATACACACAGAAGGGTTATGCAGGGTCAAACTTGGACACCTATGATATCAATAAAACTGTACCGACTTGAAAATAGGTAACAGACATGTGCTTGAATTTAGGTATATCAATTTCTAGCAGTGTGCCTTTGGGGAAGGAAATTAAACACTTTAATCCTTAATTCACCTTCTGTAAAGTGGGCCTTTGCTTAAACATTCTTTTTAGAATGAAAACATGCACATAGAACTTGGAACTTACTAAACTCTAAATAATTAGTAGCAAGTATAATAATAGAAAGAAAACAAAACAGAACAAAAACAAATAAACATCTGTGTTTTTATAAGTTAAAAAACATGTTTAGATATGGGCTCATAATTACAAGACTTTTGGGCACCTGGTTGGCTCAGTTGGTTAAGCATTTGTCTTCAGCTCAGGTCATGATCCCAGAGTCCTGGGATGGAGCCCCACCTTGGACTCCTTGCTAGTGGGGAGTCTGGTTCTCCCTCTGCCCCTCACCCTGCTCTCATGCTCTCTCTTACTCTCTCTCTTTCAAATATATAAATGAAATCTTTAAAAAAATAATTACAAGACTTTTAATTTATTTGAGTACATCATGAGTATCCATGTTTGAATGTGCTGTTTGTGTTAACTTATATCATTTGTTAAGAAAATTAATACTAACCCATGACTGGTTTTATAATTTTCTTTCACTTCATGCTAAGGAACGACATTAAAATTCTATTTAATTATAACTTTATTTTTTTTTAAGGTTCTAAGTGCTAATGCTATGGAGTAGACAACATGGACTTTATCATATAATTTTAAATTGAATATGCATTTCTATAGCAGCTTGCACACATCTTTAGCAACACTGGTCACATTTTAATTATAATAGTTCCTTGATAATAATATAGACTTGTTTCATAGTTTGAATTTTTGAAATGGAATGCACTTAATGATAAATGTGAAAAACAACTTTCTAATTTCCAGGCAGAGGAGTATGTTGAGATAGAATTGTCACTGACTGCTCAAAGAATACTCAGCCATACGTGGAAAATTCATCTTCTTATATTTGGTGTTTTTTGATATAGCATACAATGGAGTTTTAATTTAAGTTGAGTCCTAAATTTTGCTTGGTAGTTTAAAAAAATGATCTTGGCAATGTTTTGTTAGAACAATTGATTGGTACATACAATAGAAGGCTGACTGTCAATATAAGAAAATTTAATTGAGAATAGAATAAAGTGCAAAATATTTTAACATTGTGTGTGCATCATTTACATATTGTGGAAGAATATAATTTGGGCACCAAGGGAGCTTCAACATGTCAGAAATTCTGTTTGTTAAATGCCTTTGTTTAAATATAAGTTCATTAAATAATTATTTAGGGAAGAGCAATAACAATATTTTAAATGCATAAGAATTTAAGATCTACGACAGGCCTCAATATCTTATTGTCAATCTAAAGACTCTAAAGTGATTAAAACTGTGAACTGGATTATAAAAGGCATTTTATAATCCATGTGGATCGTATTTGACTTTGAAAATGTAGTGACATAGAAGGTTAAGAACTCTTCAAATCAAAATATAATTGTGATACTTAAAAAAGACAAAATACATGATCTTTTGGACAAGTGTATGATGATTTTGATTAAAAACAACAAAATAAATGAGAAGCAATTAAGATGTATTTTACTTTTTCTGTCATTAAATCAGTTGTGAATTTTGCAATCAGTATTGGTAAATAAAAGAAAAATAGTATTTTTAGTATGTGTATTTCACTCTATATTGAAAATTACATGAGATAGAGAACATATCAGATTTGATTATTAAAATTAACACTAGTACAATACAGTGTCTGATTATATACATTTTTACTGTAGTTTTTACACTAGCATTAGAAAAAAAAAGAGTGTAATGTAGTCTACAAACTCCTTAAAACTGTTCACTACAACTCTTTGGCACAACCCTAAAATATATTAGAAATTCCAATTTAAGCAGTCAGTCCAACCTGCACTTTCTTGGTTTGTCAGTACACATCTGACATTTATGTAAATTATTCTTAGTCCATTTAGTCATGGAGAAAGCACAATCATTACTCACTCCACCACTGGATATTTACATACATATTTTTATCTAGTTAAGATCATAGATAATGTAGTTTTATAGTAAATTTTATGTAGTAAGTATACCTTGAGCTTTTGCCCTCATCATTACAAATTTTTCAAAGTATGAACTCAGTAGTCTACTGCATAGCAGTGGCTTGGGGGTTCTTACTGAGATATAATTAAAATATAACATACTAGTTTCAGATGTAGAACATAATTATTTCATATATATATATATATATATATATATATGTAGTGAGATGATCAATACAACGTCTAGCCAACATCCATAATTATATTTCCTTCTTGGGGTGAAAACTTTAAGATCCACTCTTCTGGCAACTTTCAAATATACAATACAGTATTATTAACTACAGTCACCATGCTGTATGTATATTACATCCCCAGACTTATATATAACCTGAAGTTTGTACCTTTTGACCATCTTCACTCATTTTACTTACCCCCCAATGTCTGATGCATATATTGACAATTAAAATGAATATAGATTTGTTTTCCTAAGTGAAAAAAATTGTTAAGTATTTTCAGAAGTCAATGCCATTTTAAGGGCACTTTCGATGCTGTAGGAAGAATACTTATGGAGGTGGGGTAACAGAAAAGCAGAGATACCTGGGAAGATGTGCCTTTAAGATTCCAGTAATATAACACAATTGCCAGAGCTAAGGGGATGGAGATAAACATATGAAAAGATGTTGGATTATCCATATATTTCAGATGAATAATCAATACAAAATTCTACTGTATCCAGTATAAGAGGAGAGTGAATGAAAGCAGTAATCAAGAATGATTTTTGTATTTTTTAATTAAAAAGAATTTAAAATCTGTGTGTATGACCTGACCATTTTATGTGATGGAGATTGGTTAGTAATTTGGAGGATGCAAATTCAAGGAAGAAACAGAGTTCCTATTTGGATATGTCAATTTAGATACAATTTGCAAATGAAGATTTACATTTAGGAATTGATAAAGAAAATTTAATATTTGAAGATGAAATTTCAATTTTCCTAATTTAGGGAGAAGGTAAGGTAAAATAATAGAACAAAATGAGGGTGCCTGGGTGGCTCAGTTGGTTAAGCGACTGCCTTCGGCTCAGGTCATGATCCTGGAGTCCCGGGATCGAGTCCCGCATCGGGCTCCCTGCTCGGCAGGGAGTCTGCTTCTCTCTCTGACCCTCTTCCTCTTGTGCTCTCTCTCATTCTCTCTCTCTCAAATAAATAGATAAAATCTTAAAAAAAAAAAGAAAAATAATAGAACAAAATGCACATTACACTTTGAAAAAAAATATGCAGTTCAAGTAGAAAAAGAGGTGCTTCAGAAGGATACTGAGAAGAGGTGTTTACCAAGGTGGGATTATTGGTGACTCAGAATTATTAGTGATTCAGAAGTTAGGAAATGAGAGTATTTTAACAAAGAAAAAGTAATACCTATTCCAAGTGAGACACAATAAAGAGTATATGTAAATGTTACACACACACACACACACACACACACACGTTTTGGCTCTGAATGTAATAGGAGAGAGCGAGGGGGAAGGCAATGTGGACTTACATTGTCCACATTGTGGACTTTGTTTAAGTTTGCTAATTTTTAACATTAAGAGATATTAAACCCTTTGATGATGCTGATGATACTGATGCTGATGTTGATGATGACGATGATAATAAAAATGAGCTAAAAGAAATGGAAAACAGTATCCCATGTATACATAAAATAGATCTGATTAAATTCTGATGGAAACACACTTGTTCTTTTTCCAAATTAGACTGTGGTTACCATTGAGGATTTAATCTAGGTAAAATGACACAGAGATTGGTAGTACTCCATTCCTGCATAAAACACTGAAAGATAGATAAAATACCTTTTTATTTAAGGTACTCAAGATAAATATATATTTATTTAACTCAAAAATTTCATATATAAGAACTGAACATGCAGAACTAAAATCTATTCTAGGAAATTGGGTACTGAAGTTATTAAGTTCAAAGAAAATAGACTAAGAAACACAACACAACAAAACCTCCAATTAAAAAAAAATTTAGATTTCAAAATATCTCATTCACAAACCATCATCTCCCCTGACATATGAAGACCAATTTAAAGACAGAGTTGCTGGAGGGGAGATGGGTGGGAGGATGGGTTACATGGGTGATGGGTATTAAGGAGGGAACTTGTTGAGATGAGCACTGGGTGTTGTAAGTGATGAATCACTAAATTCTACACCTGAAACTAACATTACAATGTATGTTAACTAACTGGAATTTAAATAAAAACAAACAAAAAAAGACAGGAATTGGTATAATTGATTTAAAAAAATGCCCCAACAGTATAATGTCCATAATAAATTAATTTCATATATAGTGATATAAACAGATTGAAATTAAAAGAATGGTAATGTATACTGTGTAAATTATAATCAAAAGAAACAAGCGTGTGGATATATTAATATCAGATAAAGTAAATTGCAGACCAAAAAAAAAAAAAAAAAATCCCAGAGAAAGAATGGAAAATGAATTACAATAAATAGGTCAACATCCAAAAAGAGAAAACAAACTCAAATTGTGTGCACCAAACAAGATAATATGTGAAAAAAACTGATAGATCTTATAGGAGAAATCCACAATTTTATGTGCAGACTTCAGCATCCATCTCTCAGAAACTGCCAGAACAACTAGGTAAAAATTGGTAAGGTATATAATAACTCATCAAAACCATCAAACAATAGGAACTGACATTTATAGAACACTCCACCCAACAACAGCAGAATACACATTTTTTTCAAGTGCCCTGGAACATATATAAAAATAGATGCTATCCTGATTCATAAAGCAAACCTTGAAATTTCTAAAAAATGGAATCATACACAGTATGTTTATCTGCTTATAATGTAATCAAAGTGGAAATTAATAATAGAAAGGCAAAAGGAAAGGTTTCAGTTTAGTGAACATGAAGAAATAGCAATAAGATTATATAAAATAAAATACAGAAAGAAATAATACAAAATATAAAAGAACAACAATATCAAAAAAGAATAGAGTATCAGTGAGCTATGAGGCAACTCTAAGCTAAATGGCTTTTTTCCTCCCAAAATAGAATCTCTAACTCTATAGATCCAAAAAAATGCACTAACACCCAAGCACAAGAAGTACGGAGTAACTGGAATAACAGCTATAAATAGGTAATCTTAAAAGCAGCCAGAGCTTTTTGCAACAGTGTATCATAAAATCCAAACCCCTGTGCAGTTGTATGACTGCTTTTCTAGGACAAACTGGTACCTGCCACAGCGCAGCAAGACCCTCCCCAGAGGATCAGCGTGGGTCCACACTATGCCAGCTCCTTAAAATTTGGAGTTTTGAAACCCAGCTGCTCCTGAAATAAAACACAGGAGCTGGGTGGGTGCACCATGCCAAAGCAGACACGGTGAAGGCTGGGATCTAACAGAAGCCTGGGACACAAGAGGGGAGATTGTTTGCTCTTCTGTGAGGGCCTCCTGAATAGTGGCAGGCATGAACTCCCCTTTCCAGGGAGGAGAGAGGGCCAACACCATTTTTCAGCCCTCCCATCAATAGATGGACTTCAGTAAGTGAAATGGCACCCACAGTGGAGGCTTGAATCACTTACACCAAGCTCTACCCATCTGGGCTTTATAGGTGCCTTTTTAATTTTTTAATTTTTTTTAAAGATTTTATTTATTTATTTGAGAGAGAGTGAGTGAGAAAGAGAGCATGATAGGGTGGAGAGGCAGAGAGAGAAAGAGAAGAGACTCCCCGCTGAGCAGGGAGCCTAATGTGGGGCTTGATCCCAGGACCCTGAGGACATGACCTGAGCTGAAGGCAGATGCTTAACCTACTGAGCCACCCAGGCGCCCCTATAGGTGCCTTTTTAAATAGGTCAAGTGTGATTAAAAGCCAGAAGAGCAGCAGGCCCTGCCCCCAGAATACCAGCACAAACTCCATGCACGAACCAGGTCTACTGATCGTAGAATGCTCCAAAGCTTTAGCTGTAGTAGAAATAGGTCCAGACACAGGCTTTCCTAACACACAAAAGACAGATACCTAGACAAAATGCAAAGATGGAGGAATTAATCCCAAAAAGAAACAACAAGAGGGGGTGCCTGGGTGGCTCAGTTGGTTAAGCGACTGCCTTCGGCTCAGGTCATGATCCCGGAGTCCCGGGATCGAGTCCCATATTGGGCTCCCTGCTCAGTGGGCAGTCTGCTTCTCCCTCTGACCCTCTTCCCTCTTGTGTTCTCTGTCTCTCATTCTCTCTCTCTCAAATAAATAAATAAAATCTTAAAAAAAAAAAAAAGAAACAACAAGAGGGAGTCACAACCAGGGAGCTAATCAAAATAGATATAAGTAATATGCCTGAACCAGAAATTAAAACAACAATTGTATGGATACTAGCTGGGCTTGAGAAAAACATAGAAAAAAACAGAGAGACCCTTACCACAGAGATAAAAGACCTAAAAATCACTCAGGCCGAAATAAAAAAATGTTGTAACTGAGATGCAAAACTGACTTATGGAATGACCACAAGGATGGAAGAAGCACAGGAACAAATAAGTGATATAGACAATACAATTATGGAAAATAGTGAAGCTGAAAAGAAGAGGGAAAGAAAAATATTAGATCACCAATATAGACTTAGGGAACTCAGTGACTCCATAAAGCATAATAACAGTCATATCATAAGAGTCCCAGAAGAAGAAGAAAAAGGAGAAGAAGAAGAAGAAGAAGAAGAAGAAGAAGAAGGTTTATTTGAGAAAATTAGAGCTGAAAACTTCCCTAATTTGGGGATCCAGGAGGCACAGAAAACTCCCATCAAAACTGATAAAAGCTGGCCAACACCAAAATATAAAGTAGTAACTTTTGCAAAATACAGAGATAAGGAAGGATTCCTGAAAACAGCAACGGAGAAGAAATCTCTAACCTACAAGGAAAGACAAAAGAGGTTAGCAGCAGATCTCTCCACAGAAACCGGGCAGGCCAGACAAAAGTGCCACGATATGTTCACATGATATGTGCTGAAGGGGAAAAATATGCAGCCAAGAATATTTTATCCAGCAAGGCTTCCACTCAGAATAGAAGGAGAGCTAAATTTCCAAGACAAAACAAAAACACACAAAACAAAAACCAAAACAAAACACTAAAGGAGTTTGTGACCACTACACCAGCCCTGCAAGAAATATTAAAGAAGACTCTTTCAGTGGCAAAGCAAGACCAAATGCAGCAAAAACTACAGAGGAACAGAGAAAATCTCCAGAAACAACTTTACAGGTAACACAAGGGAAGTAAATTCATATCTATCAATAATCACTCTGAATGTAAATGGACTAAATGCTCCAATCAAAAGACATAGGGCATCGGAATGGATGAAAAAACAAGGCACACTATATATATAAAACAAGACTCATTTTAGACCTAAACACACCTGTAGTTTGAAAGTGAGGGAAGGGAGAACTATTTATCGTGCTAATGAACATCAAAAGAAAGCCAGAGTACCCATACTTATATCAGACAAACTAGATTTTAAACCAAAGACTGTAATAAGATATGAAGAAGGACACTATATCCTACTTAAAGGGTCTATCCAACAAGAAGTTCTAACAATTGTGAATATTTATGCCCCCCAACTTGGAAGCACCCAAATATATAAAAACAATTAATAACAAATATAAAGGAACTCTTTAATAATAATACAATAACAGTAGGGGACATTAACAACCCACTTACAGCAATGGACAGATCAACTAAACAGAAAATGAGCCAGGAGACAATGGCTTTGAATGACACACTGGACCAGATAGATTTAACAAATATATTCAGAACATTTCATCCTAAAGCAGCAGAATACACATTCTTTTCCAGTACATGTGGAACATTCTTCAAAATAGATCACATACTGGGTCACAAATCAGGCCTCTGTCAGTACAAAAAGATTAAGATCATACCATGCATATTTTCAGTCCACAAGACTATGAAACTTGAAGTCAACCACAAGAAAACATTTGGAAAGACCACAAATACATGGAGGTTAAAGAACATCCTACTAACGATTGCATGGCTCAACCAGGAAATTAAAGAAATTAAAAAAAATTACATGGAAACAAATGAAAATGAAAACATCAGTCCAGAACCTTTGGGATGCAGCAAACACAGTCAGAAGAGGGAAGTACATAGCAATCCAGGCCTACCTCAAGAAGCAAGAAAAGTCTCAAATATATAAGTTAACCTTACACCTAAAGGAGCTAGAAAAGGAACAGCAAATAAAGCCTAAAGCCAGCAGAAGGAAAATAATAAAGATTTGAGCAGAAATAAATCATATAGTAACAAACAAAAAAAAAACAATAGAACAGATCAAAAGAACTAAGAGCTGGTGCTTTGAAAGAATTAATAAAATTCTTAAACCTCTAGCCAGACTTATCAAAAAGAAAAGAGAAAGGACCCAAATAAATAAAATAATGAATGGGAGAGGAGAGATCACAACCCACACCACAGAAATACAAACAGTTAGAATATTACGAAAAATTATATGCCAACAAATTGGGAAATCTGGAAGAAATGGATAAATTTCTAGAAACATATAAACTACCAAAACCAAAACACGAAGAAATAGAAAATTTGAATAGACCCATAACCAGCAAAGACATTGAATCAATAATCAAAAATCTCCCCACAAACGTAAGTCCAG